AGATAAGATTCCTGGCTTTTGTCCTCTCTGCTTACGTGCCTGCTTCATCTTTAGGTTATGGTAGCTTCAGCCTAGTCTCACACCGGGTGGCATTGATCACACTTATGGATGACCTCTAGTGGGCTCAGTATGGGGGCAGTGTATCCATCCTGACCCTCCTTGATCTCTTAGTTCAATGACATTGAACTATGGTACCCTTCTGGGCCAGCTGAGCAGGTTGGGAGTCAGTGGCATAGTCCTTCAGTGGTTTTCCTCCTTCTCCTGAGGCTGGTTCCAGATGATGATGTGGGGGGCGAGAGGTCCAGTCCTAGACCTCTGCTTTGCAGGGTCTTGCAGTGCTCAATTTGCTCCCTATTTAACTTCTACATGAAACTACTGGGCGAGGTCATCCACTGGCCTGGAGTGAAATATTAGTATGTCAATTATACTCAGTTATTATCTCTGACCAAGTGAGGTTAAGGTGTTTCCCAGCGCCTGGAGGCTGTACAGGTCTGAATGGGGAAGAATCAGCTTTGGCTAACCCTTGACTAGACTAAGTGGCTCTGGGTTTTACGGCCTCCCATATCTAGTGATTTGCCATCTTTAATGCTGGCTGGGATTACACTCCCCAGGCAGAGTTGGTCCATAGTCTGGGGGCCCTTCTGGACTCATGGCTCCACTTGAGGAGCAAGTGGCAGCTGTGGCCAGGAGAGCCCTTGTACAAATATATCTTGTGCACCAGTTGCACCTATTCCTAGATTGGGAGGCACTGCTCATGGTCACTCATGCCTTTGTTACCTCTCAATTAGACTGTTGCAATGTGCTGTCCTTAATGAGCATTCAGAAGCTTCAATTAGTCCAAAATGCGTCGGCATGTGCAGTGCTGGGTATACCATAATATGCTTATGTAACACCACTGCTCCATGAGCAACACTGGCTCCCAGTAGACTTCTAGATGTAATTCAGGCTGTTGGTTATCACCTTAAAACCTTACATGGCATGGGGCAGGTTACTTGGAGGACCACCTATCCCCAGTGGTTTTTGTCCATCCCACCAGATCTGACAGGGGGCATGCTCCAGGTCCCTTTGGTGGGGCCTAGGAAGCTTGCCTTCTCTATCATGGCCTCCCCTAGAGGTATGGACAGCCCCCACCTAGTGGTTTTTGGGAAGGCAGTAAAGACCTGGTTTTTCCTCCAGGCACTGGGACCAGGAAATTAATGGACCTCTGTTGTGGTTGTGTATGATTTATGGGTGTGAGATTTTTATTGGGACCTCAACTTGGGTTTGGTTTTTTTTTCCCTTTCTTTAAATTGATTGAAAATGTATTGTTTTTATCTTTGTTCACCACCCAGAGTTTTTCTGGTAAATGGACTGCCATATAAATTTATGTAATTAATAAATATAGATATATCCCTGCTTGTGATCATTATCTTTTCCAACTCTGTTACCAACAAAGGGACTTGTTTTTTTTTCACCTTTTATATGCAGAAATGCACTCCTGACTATTTGCAGGCCAATTTTCTTCTGAAAGATTTTTTCTCATAAGCTATCTTTCGCTTGTCCTCTACTAAAACATCACCTAATTAAGTATATGTCTTCTTTCCCATCTTCCTCAGAGAGCTTGTCTGTTACACTGTAATTGGGCCTCTCCTTATTAAATTTGAATACAGCAGTAGGATGGGAAATTATTGGGCTATTTGAGTAAGTTAAATTGTTAAATTATTGGGCTATTTGAGTAAGTAACTCTGGAAGATTAACAGTATTAAGCACTTTAAGATAGCATTGGGTAGAAAATCTCATTGTTCTCTGATTTTGAAGGAATATCATGTCCAACAGAATTCTGCCTTAATTTGTTTTAACTATGGGAGTCTCATGGAGTGGAAGAACTGTAGAACAGCTGTAGAACATTATTGAAAGTAGCTTTTCTCTTTCCCATCCTACTGCTGTTTTCTTTTAAAAAACTTTCACAAAATGAACTGTGAAGGAATATTGCCAGAGACCTAAATGGATGGGGTACATAAAATGTTCACTTTATTGCCCCTAAAACATATCCATATCAAAACAGTAAAAATTAGAAGCATTTTGTAGTTTAGTTACCCACATTCTCACAGGATCTATTTTCCTAAGCAGCCTAATTTCAGGCCAGCTGTACTAATGAGGAAAATGAAGGAGCTCCCCTCAAGCAGGAGCATTTTGAAATGGCAGTGATTTGACAGGCACTTAGCTTCAAACTTATTGCTGATAACCTGATAATAAAAGCAGAAGTTTTTTACTGTAAATAACATAAACTGGTAATAGTCTATTCCTGGTTGGAATAGTCTCTGTCTCAGTGTTAGCTTGCTCAAAATAACTTTATATATTTTGATTTTAGTTCCAGACCTCCAGAGCCTCAGAAGCCGCCTGCTAGATCTTACCTAGATAATCAAGGAATTTACAGCAGTGATGCAGAGGAGGAAGATTATCGGAGGCAGCTATCTGATCACTCCAAGCGTGGATACTATGGACAACCATCTCGTTACAGAGATACAGAATTATAGAATTATTAGCAGTCAAGCCATTGTTCTGAGACCCACTTGCACAGCAAAAACTCTGATTCTTTTTAACAAGTATATGTATATTTGGGGTTATCAATGAACTTGAGAGGTATCTGCTCACTGGAATGGCACAGTGTCACTTCATTTAAGTATTGGAGGGGATGAATCATGGTTGCCTATTTTTCAAAAGGACCAAAAAAAATATTTTTTTTAAATTGGTATTAATTTCCAGCATCTATAAATTTTTAACTTGCATTTCTTTTCCTCATTAAAATTGCCTTTTAAATATTCTTTTAACTGTTGGGCCTAATGGAAGCTTGATGAAAACCACAATACTTTACTGCAAGAAAAAATAAGTGCCTTTCAAATAAAAGTGTCTTCAGTTCTCTTAACATCTGATACTTGTGCAAAGCCATGAAATTTCTACTGCTTATAACTTTTGTATGTTTCATAACTCCCATTTTCCCCTTGGATGTTATTTTTCTATTTTAAATAGATCTGTACACAATTTTCATAAGCAGTGACTGTATATATTAAACTGTTTTGTAGGCTGACTGGCATAAGGCTAGGGAGTGCCAAGATTAAGGAAATTATGTAGAAACTAAATGAGTCTTTGGGCTTTAAAACTTTTACATCAGTCATGAAATAAAAAAGATTATATTCTACAAACAATTAAGATTCGACTTTGTCTTTATAACTTTTTAAAATCATGCCTGGGGCAATTAATTAATTTCTTTTTAGATTGTGGTATAATGTGCAATACTTTGCAGTACTATTTATTCAGAGGAGATATAGAATATTGGGGAATAGATCTTTTTGAGCACTCTTACCCCCCACAATGGAAATACAAGAGGCTGGACAGTTGCAGTAGACATTCCTGTGGTACACCAATCCTGTTCTTGCTCATGCATCCAGTGATTCCCTTTTCAGGCCTGGGTGTGAATTCCCTAATTCTGAATGTAATGTTTTTTGAACTGTGGATCCAACTGTGCACTGGTTAGCAGTGTGAATATTTCCTGTATCTCCTTTTAGAGATCTTCTTTTGCATATAAATAGATACATATTTATTTCTCTGCCTACTGTCCTGTCTTAACACTGAAAAAATGTCCTTCATATAAAAATCATTGGTAGAATATTTTTAATCTTGGTGCAGTGGATGGATAATATAAGTATACATCAAGTTTATCTTATAGTGCTGCCAAGAGTGCAATAGTTTGTTATGCTTATTTTTTCCCTGCTTGTCACTTTCTTCATGCCAGGACATCCTTAGTTACTTTGTGGGAGCCAGTCTAAGCAGAGATGCCCTCCTTTCAGGATAGAAGGCCGAATAGTGAAGGCTGAAACTCGTCCCCTCTTCTATTTAAAAGCTCATCTGAGAGAGGGGGAGGACTTCCTGCTCCTGATGGGTTACTCAAGGTTTGAGTTTCTTGGTCCTTGCTGGTCTTTGCCCATGATCTAGATTTACAGGTTTAGGTTTAATTGTATCTTTTGACTGCCTCTAGCTCTTGGTGATAAAGCCACACAACACAGGATCCACTGAATTTTGTACTGGATTGTGATCAGCAGTTAGGTGAAAGGGAAGATAAAGGTGTCCCCAAGCTATAAATTTTAGGTCATCTGTATAAGCAAAGGTATAATACTTATACCTTTGCTTAGGCTTCAATTGCAATAGCAGATTCTGTTTAATTGTACAGATTATTTAGATCATATTTTCCTAGTAAAAGTCTTACATAGGTAATCCCCAGTTTAAGAACGAGTTCTGCTCCCAAGGTCTGTCCTTAAGTCAAATCTGTATGTAAGCCAGAACAATATTGTATAATACTGTATAAGTAGTATTGTTTAATGAACTCGAACCATCGTGTACTTAACTCGAATCAACTCAAATTTTGCTACAATAGGCTCTTTCTTAACTATGAGTTGTCTGTAAGCTGTGTGTTCTTAACCCAGGGACTACCTCTATTTCAACACTTTTTGCTAGCTATGGTAAAATCATGGTAAATTTCTTATCTTAATCTGAGGAGTGGTGGTTGGGATATTTTAGCTGTTTGCTTGGATCACAGGATTTGCTGGCCTGCAGGACGCATGTGTACCTAGAGGGAAAAAACACTTTCCCCCCCTACAAACACCTCACTATGACACTCAGAAGAAATTGTAAGAAAGATACCATTTAGAGGATATTGAGTTTTAGGTCTTGTGCAGTAATAGCTGCATATCTAGTAACAAGATACAAATGGAAGGATATGCCATGCATCCTGATCCTTAAAATAAATGTTGCTGAACCCTGCAGTGATACATGAAGTGTTTTACCATTGCCTTTCAAGTTTTAAAAAAACTTCCAGTCTAACTTGTAGCACTGGGGATTTACATTTATTCATTTATCCATTCATTCATGTTATTGAACGCTCTAAGAAAATATGTAAACAAGTACAAAAAAAGAGTATGAATAATAAGGATGATACAGATGAATAAACAAGGGATGTAAACATGTCGTGGAGGTTATAACTTTCTCATATACCATTAATTAGTTGTAAATAGTTAAGTATATTGCATATATTATATTAAAGGACTAAGAATCATCGTTAACCTAAAAATATCAACAGTCATTGTTAATATAAAACAACATAAATCACCAAAGAATCATGGAATAAGTTCAGTCCATATTCCTAAGAAACTACTCTGATGTACAGTAAGTATTTTGAAAAATTGGAATATAAATTCAATGCATAGATAAATCCAAATTTTGGATGTGGTACCAATCCATATATTACAGTATACTCTAAGAATAGTTTCCATTTTGAGTTGAAATCTATGTTAAGGCATAAAGTTATTCTGGACATCTAAGCACACTCCCACAACTTGTTGGAGGGATCAGATGACCTGTGCAGTAAAAAGCATATACTGTAGCATCCTCGCAGCAGTTACCATGTATAAGGCTAATTCAATATATTTTGAAAGGTTTGGTGATGTTTAATAAGAATATGGTAGGTTGAAATGGAAATTCAGCTTTTAAAATTTGTTTCATTCTAATAGGAATCAATGATTCAAAATAAAGGTGGGATGTACATCTATTATTTTTATTATCAAAAACACTGAGCTTTGTAACATTGCCACAAAATGTGAAAGAATGATCCAACCTGCTCATTATGTTTCCAGCAACCTTTTGAGAATGAATGGTCCATTTCAGCAATCAAAACTGAACAACCAACAATAAAGCATACCAGTTTCCTCTGAGTATAATTTTCAGAGTGAATTTAATGGAGTTCTTCTGTTGACTCCCATTGCTGCATTTCTATTATGGCATTTAAATTCTTCATTTATTTAATCATACACTGTTTGACCTTTTCGGGTTCTAAGTCATACTTCATCAACAGTCTATAAATAAAACCCAACAAGTGTTCTGAGTTTAGTGTTATAGGTTTTTCAAATTCAGTCAAGTCCCTCAGCTCCCCCCCCCTTGTCTTTTCAGTTCTTTTAATAATCTATTAGATATTTGAAGATACTGAAACTACAGTAGTCAGGTAAACTGCACCCACTGTGAGGCAAGAGTTTCAAAATACTAACTCTCCACTCAACAAATTTCTTGGAACCTTCCTGTTCATAAAAATAAACAATTATATGAGAGGGGAGAGATCTGGACTAATAATTTTTCTGTATTTATCCCAGATATCCAGGACATTATTATTACTATATGATCTCATAAATTTTTTCTTTGTGTTAACCCAGAGATATTTATGCAAACCATCTGGAAGGCTTTCAACATATGTAACCAAGCCATAAGGATATACCATCCACTCTGAAATCCACGTTAAGGAACTAGCATAATAATTCAATTTAAAGCTTGGAGCTATTAATCCACCATTCTCTTTCAAGTCCCGTAGAATTTGAATTTAAAGCTTAGTCTTTTATTAGACTATATGTCCATTACTTGTTTATGCCAATCACTTAATGTCTTCATAATATGTATTGGAATCATTTGGGGAAAAAAATTAACTCTTGGTAAAATATTCAATTTAATGGCTGCAATACTACCTAGCCAACACAAATTTCGTTTTTTCTATACTCTTTCCAACTTGGAAATAGTTACTTTTAAAGAAATCCCTATTATTTTTGGTACATAAATTCTATGGGCATTTAGCCTTTTTTTTTTACAGTAAAGTTAAATCCGAATACTACATACTGTAGAGATACTTTTCTTCCTCTTCTCTTTGGATACTTAACAATACAGTACAGTAGTTTTAAGAGTCTAGTGGTCTAGAAAAGGGCTTAAAACAAACAGTGGGTACATGTACCACAGGTTGAACTCAGAAGACATCTGGGTGGGTCACGGAGTAGCAAGTCATTGAAATGTTTTAAGTATTTTAAATTTGGCATAAATGATAGATAACAGAAGGCTGGGTAAATAAAAGGTCCTTCCTCAGAAAAATGCTTGGTTTTTTTGGCATGGTGGGACCCAGGTTCTTTAGTAGACTGAGTGGCAGGATTTGAATGAAAGCTTAGAATCACTCAGTTCTTAAAAAATATACATAAAAATAAAATAAACTAAAATCAGGATGCTTGTCCACTCCTGGAACCCAAAAGAAGATACTTCCCCCGGCTACAGGAGACGTTTTAAAGTTTCAGAGTGACAGCTTGGTAACAGCAGGGGTGGGTGATAAAGTACGTGAGAAAGCGCAAGAGCAAATCTTGAAACACACACACCTTAAAAGAGGAGTGAAGGCCACGCACTCGGTATAACAAGTTCATCCAGAACTGCAGCGAGGATGGCTCATCGTGATTGGCTGAGGATTTTTTTTTTTTTTTTTTTTTGCAAACACATCGTTTACAAAAGTTGAATCTGGCAAGAGGAGGGGCTGTGGGCGAAAACAAGTCTGCTTTGATTAAGATTAGTTTTGGCAGGAAAGTCAGTTTGATACAAAATCTGTAAATGCGGGGAGAGGAAAAAGACCGAGAGCTGGGGCTGCTGGCTTTCAATTAAGTAGGGAGCAAGCAAGGAGAATTGGAGCTGGCTGGCTTTCAATTAAATAGGGAGTAAGCAAGGAGAATTGGGGCTGGCTGGCTTTCAATTAAGTAGGGAGTAAGTAAGGAGAATTGGGGCTGGCTGGCTTTCAATTAAGTAGGGAGCAAGCAAGGAGAATTGGGGCTGGCTGGTTTTCAATACAGCAGGGAGTGAGTGAGGAGAATTGGGTTGGCTGGCTTTCAATTAAATAGGGAGTAATAAGGAGTTTAGGCTTCTCCGGGTTTTACGACAGGGATCGTTCTGACAAGCGTTGGCCTCGCGTGGCTAAAGAAGCAGGGCAGGCATTTGGGTCCGTCGCTGCAACAGAAAAGGAATCTTTATCAAGGGCGGAAGTGAACGATCCGGAGGTTTGACTTTCGGTGGAGCCCGGGAGAAGTTTGCGGGGCGTGAATTTCAGTCGGCGGGATGTGCACGGCGGAGCCTTGCGCGGCAGGAGTTAACCAGCCGGGGGATGAGTTCAAAAGTTTGGCAGCGAGTTGGGAATAGTTGAGGGAGGAGGGTTTCTGGGAAGCGGTTAAATTTGCCAGAGGAACGGATTAAGGGCGGCGTCGGCGGCGGCGGCGGCAGGCCTGGGGCGAAGCGGTCTCCCCCACTGAGTAGGCTGGCAGTCCTAAGACGTCGGCGGATCGGAGACTGGGCGAACGAGCTGAATGGGAGGCTCGGGTTGAGGGGGTCGGGAGCTTGTTTCCTTCTGCACGAGAAAGGCCGCGGGGGCCGCAGCGTGAGTCTGAGGGATCCAAGCAAGGCAGTGGCCCGACACCTAGAAATGCCAGGAGAGGCCTAGGGAGCACGAGCCAAAAGGCGGGCGCCCAGGATTGCTAGAAATGCCAGGAGAGGCCTAGGGAGCACGAGCCAAAAGGCGGGCGCCCAGGATTGCTAGAAATGCCAGGAGAGGCCTAGGGAGCACGAGCCAAAAGGCGGGCGCCCAGGATTGCCTGCCTCCGCGCGCGTGAGCAAAGGAGAGAGTGAGTGGCCGGCCAGCAGGCGGACTCTGGGGTGGCGGCGCAGCGTGTGGACGGGACCGGGGCTTGGCCAGCGGCCTCAGCCGGAGGAGGCCACAAGGAGCTCCCTCCCCGCGCGGGGGAGCGCTCAGAGTTGGCTTCTCTCCTCCTCCTCCCACATGTCTCTGCCTGTGGTGCTGCCCGGCTCCTGCTGTCCCATGGCCCGGCTGTCGGCGGTCTCCGAGGTGGCCAGGTCCTGCTCAGCGGGAGCTGTTGCTGCCGCCGCCGCCCCAAACCCGCCTCCGCCGCCCTTGCCGCCGCCTCGCCGCCCCCACCGGGGCCGCTCCAGCTTCCGGCAACCCCGGCCTCGCCCAGCCGCTCTCTCCCCCGTGGCTTCCAGTCGGAGCGGGGCCTCGTCCATTGTCGGGCAGGGCCCACTGCCGGCCAGACCACTGCTGTCCCTGGGGCTGCTGCAGTTGATTTTGGGGTGCTGCATGGTGGCCCTAAGCTTTGGGGCGCTCTCCCTCAGCAATTCCCCGCAGGTGAAGAACTCCTGTCCCTTCTGGGCTGGCTCCTCGGTAAGTGGCCACGGGCCGGGCCCTTTTCTTGTATCTGCAGGGTTTTTTTTTTTTTTAGAGTAGCAGCTATCTTGGGGCACCTGCTGGATCCTTAGTTTCAGTCCTTTCGCCTGCTGTAAAACAGACGTTGGGGCTTGGCAGCGTCCCATGTGTATTGATGCTCGCAACAATCCTGCAAGGGTGAACAGTATAGAACGGCCTCCCAGTTTTCCAGGGAAGAGTCGAAAAGAAGGAGATTATGATTTAAACGGATTGGCTAAAAATTGGGGAATGGAAAGCTGGAACGTCGTTGTTAGCTACTGGATTGAGGTTAGGACTGCCATATATGGACTACAAAAATTTGGGCAACTGTTAGATGGCGGTTTTCGGAATCTTTGGTGGCATCCAGTTGTGTTTTGGATTTTTGTAGCCCAAATCTTGTAGCCCTAATTAAGATTGATTTTAACCTGTGGCATTTATTTTATGGCATTATATTCTTTAGGAAACTTCCATTAGTTTATTTAGTGTATTAATAAAGTAACTTTAAGATGCAGGTGATACTTAAAGTAATTTTGGAGGTATCATATTTGAAAAATACACTATCGGGCTTGGAATGGAATGTTTCCTTTGCTTGCCTCTCAATGTTTTATACTGATAAGGCAAATAATAAAGCATTTAGTAGTTAGGCTCTATCCCTGTGCTGTCCTTGCACTTTGGAAAACATGGTTGATGTGAAAGAGTAGAGCCAACTATAGTGGTAAACAAGGGACCAGGTAATAATTCTGGTTTATTTTTCATCATGCCTTGTGAAATTGCTGTTAAGGATATATGTTACTGTACCTGATTTTTTTCTACTTGCTTAATATAGGATGTGTTGTATCTGTTTTCATTCTTCAAGTCTCCCCTATAATGTGGTGAGGTATTGTCTTATTTAATAGAAGGCTTCCCATTTATATGTATTTGCAGAGTCAGCTAAATGCATTCATAAAAGCAAGTCTCATTTGCTATGGATTTTGCTTCTATTCATAGATTAATCTTCTGCCTCAGTGCTGCATCTAAATCTCCCCGTCTCAGAAGGTTACAGACTTTATGAATTGCAGATACTGTCCCAGCCACTGGCAGAGGAAGCAAAGCATTTTAAATGTCTTTTAGAAAAATATGTGTAAAAGTAACTATATTTCCTAAGTTTTCAAAGTTGTGTTTCTACATCAGTACAATATTAACATTTGTAGCTTTGTCCTAGTTAATTATCAGATTCCTAGGTAGTTGGAAAATGTTCCTTTTCCCTGATAGAATTAGTGATAAATTGTGGATTTTTCTTGTGAAAAGACTTCCAGTCATAAATGTCTTGCAGGTTAATACCACAGACACTGGAGAGATCAAGTCCTCCTGATTTTAATTTAAAGATGAGTGTATCTCAAAGAACTTGGAGACAGTAAATTATTTAATATTTGTGGACAATAAAAATGATCTGTGTCATTAAAAACATCCTGAAAGTACACAGTGATTCGGCAGTATTGATATGATCATAGGCCAGAACTCTTCTTTCTAAATATATAACTTGAACAATATTGCAGAGCAATATTTAAAGCTAGTTCTAGTTTAGCAGACATTAACAAGCAACAACTTTATATGTTTTTATTTTTATGGAATTGTAGTAAATGCAGGAATCTGTTCCTGTGGACCTAAGTGAAAACAGGAGGAGGAGGAGGAGGTATAATCAGAATCTTGTAACTTGCTGTCTAAACTCTTCTTATTTTCTCTCATCATCCTTGTTTTGGATATATTTTTGATGCTGTCCCTCGTGTGTAGCAGTGTTCTGCTGCATCCGTACTGGCAAGCCAGAGCCTTTGTAAATATTGTTATGTCTCCTTGGTTGATGCTAACTGCCAACTGAGATCTGTCATCCTAAATAGATTAACCACTGTTGTTCACATCCTTTAAACTGTCTTGATAGTTGCTTGTGAATGGCCACGCAATGCAATCTTTGTATGTGTGGAAAATGACTTTTTATTTTAAACATCTTTTCTTGACTAATCACTAAGGCATATAATTGTAATGCCATATTTATATCAGCACCTGTCCATTTAAATACTTTTAAGTTAGACTTTTGAAAGTAATGTAAAAATTAAAAAAAAAACTATTTCAGTTTTTCCATAACTTGTATTACTCTGTTCACAATAGCTTCATTATAAATGTAAGCACTTCCAGATATAGACCCATTAATTTTCTAGTTTAAAAAAAAATGAGATGCAAAAGAATATGCAAATTATCCAACCAAATTTTAAATTTTGCTTAAAATCTTAAGAAAAAGAATAGACCCATATATAGAGAGAGAAATGTCATATGGTGAGACAGGCTTCAGAACAGGCAGAGGGATATAGGGTCAAATAGTAGGCTTTCCATGGTTTGAAAATGATTCAGAAGATGTGCTTCAGACTTTGTACAAGCATAGTGTGGTTTTCTTTCAGGTTTCCTTGTGAATCTGAAAAAAAGATGCTGCTTTTAAGAGTTGCATTAAAAATACTGTTTTAATAAAGTGATCTGCTGAACCAGTGGCATTTTTTTCAGTTTTTTTGAATCTGCAGCACAGCCTTGGTCTCTCAGTCCCACCACTGGATGGAAGCTGTTGGTGTGATCCTGTGGGTTGAGACTGTGGTGTCAGCAGGGAATATGGCAGTAGCGAAAAAGGATTGCTAATTGCTAATGTTGGGAGAGAGAGAAATACCAGTACTGGCCAAGTGAAAGGAAAGAGGAACCAGTCCAAATTAACTGGTGCTATTCCTTCTAATTTCCCTTTTAGGCCAGCCTAGTATTTTTTCTTCTTTTCATCTCACCCCAGGTAGCAAAAAGCCTTTCAATCAACATCTGTTGTAGGGGAAAAGCTGTTCATACCATAGATTCCTTGCAGTAACTCCAGCCCTCCCAGGATTTTGTAGCCTATAGTTGTGAAACTGCTGGAAGGCCTTTGATTGTACCAGAAAACCCTTTACAAGGTTTGAACTTGTAAGCAATAAGAATTGAATTTAGAGAGTGATTTAGAATAGGAAAGAGTGATACCAATAGAAGCAAATATG